TTCCTATTTTAAGTCCTTCATACCAATACAATACCTACTCTTCTCTCCACAACGTCCTGTACCTCTTTCCCTCACCCTTGCTTTTCAATGATCTTATATTATTCTCACTGAGAAAAAGTAAAACTGAAGCCAAAAGTTCTACAAACTGCCATCCACTTACTATCACTGTGTGTTTACATAGAACGAATACATCATTCTATGTATACACTTCTTTTCCTATTACCTTGGTAGTAGTATCTTTTCTTCCTAAGGCCCAACACTTTCACCTATCCACTAAAATTTCATGTCTTTTATCACAGGACACTCTAATAAAAAAAGAAACAACACCCCTTCTCTCCTGCATCATCTTTCCCCTCTCCTAAATCTCTTTAGTTACTTAAGCTATTTATATATTTAAAAAACTGTTAACCCATTTGCTTCTCTGTTAAGTGTCCCACTTGTCTTCTTGCTTCAAAATATAACTTGTTTCTTATACCTGAATAGATGTCTCAACTTGCTCTTCACTCTCTTTTTAAACCCTCCAATCAAACTCTACTGCACTAAAAAGACTATAAGCGAATGTCCTTCACATTAATGACACATTAATCTGTTTTATCTTTGAGCAACATTTAACACAATTTATCACTCCCTCCTCTTTGAAATACTTAACTTCAGGAAACTATAGTTCTGGATTTCCTACTACCACTCTGGCTGATCTTTTGTTTTTGTTTTTTGTGGTTTTTTTTTTTTGGTACCAGGGATCGAACTCGGGTCCCTGCGCTTGCAAAGCAGGCACCGGAACCACTGAGCTAAATCCCAGGCCCTCTGGCTAATCTTTTGATGGCTCCTTCTCATCTGACTTTTTCTCTTTTCTAGATACACTCATTCCTAAAACTGTCAGTGTTTTCATGTAGTCTGATTTTTTTTCCTCATTGAGTTTATTGGTACATTTTAGGTATACAGTACAGTTACATTCATTATTGGGGTCTTGTACCTTTACGTGACAGGTCGTGGTTCTCATTTTTTCCCCTTGTCCCTGCCCTCCCTTCACCCCCTCCTCCCCTCCTCATTTACAAACCCTTTATTTCCATTTTTTCATTTTCTCATATTTTTTCCCTTATTCCCTTTCCCCTACCCTTCCCACCTTCCCTACCCCTGTAGCCCTTTTCTTCCTATTTCACATTGTCAATTATCTCATTAGTATCTTATGTATTATAGCTTTTCACAACAAAATGTTCAGTATTTACACATGTGACTTATTTCACTTGAGTATATCCTCAATATGTACCCATTTTCCTATGAATGAATCTAATTTCTCATTCTTTATGGCTGAGTAGTATTCCATTTATAGAAAAACCACATCTTCTTTATCCAGTCTCCAACTGATGGGCAAATGGGCTATTTCCAAGTTTTAGCTATTACAAACTGTGCCACTATAAACATAGGTGTGCATATATCACCGTGATATGATTCTTTTAATTCTTTTGGAAAGATACCCAGCAGAGGGATGGCTGGGTCAAATGGAACCTCTAGTCTCAGCTCTTTGAGGTATCTCCATATTGATTTCCATAGTGGTTGCACCAGTCTGCACTCCCACCAACAATGGAGAAGGGTGCCTTTCTCCCCATAACCCTGCCAACATTTGTTATTGGTTGATTTCTTGATAGCAGCCATTCTTTGTGGGGTGAGGTGGAATCTGTGTTGTTTTCACCTGCATCTCTCGAATAACCAGTGATGTGGAACATTTTTTCATATATTTATTTGCTGCTTTTACTTGTCTGAGAAATGTGTTCATTTCAGATGCCCATTTTTGAATTGAGTCTTCATATTTGGAGGGGACTGATTGTTTTGAGTTATATATTCTAGATAAGAGCCCTCTGTCTGCCGGCGTGGTGGCACACGCCTGTAACCCCAGCACTCGGGAGGCTGAGGCACAAGTATCCTTGTGAGTTCGAGACCAGCCTGGGCTATATAGTGAGTTCCAGGTCAGTCTGAACTACATAGTGAGATCCTGTCTCAAAAAAAAAAAAAAAAAAGAGCCCTTCGTCTGAGGACCAGCTGGTAAATTTTTTTCCCACATTGTAGGTTGTCTTTTAGTTCGGTTGGTTTCTTTTGCAGTGCAGAAGATGAGATCCCAGTTGTTGATTCTTTCTGCTGGTTCCCGTGCTATTGAGGATGTGTTCGTAAAGTCTTTTCCTATGCTAGTGTCTTCAAGAGTTCTGCCTAACTTATATTCCAGCAAGTTGTGTTTCTTTTTTAATATTTAGATCTTTAATCCACTTTGATTTTAGTTTAGTGCATGGTGAAAGATGAGGGTCTAGTTTTAATCTTTGGCAGGTTGAAATCCAATTTTTCCAACACCATCTATTAAAGAGGCTATCTTGTCTCCAGTGAGGATGGTCAGCTCCTTTGCCAAAGATGAGGTAGCTGAGTACATCTGGAATTGTTTTTGTATCTTCCAGTCTATTCCACTGATCCTCAGGTCTGTTTCTTTGCCAGTACCATGCTGTTTTTATCACAGTGGCTTTGTAGTATAGTTTCAAATTGGAATTGTTATACCCACTGCCATGTCTCTGCTGCCTAGGATGGCTTTTGCTATTCTAGGTCTCTTCTGGTTCCAAATGAATTTTTGGATTATTTTTTCTAGTTCTGTGAAATATACTGTTGGAATTTCAATCAGAATTGCATTGAATCTGTATAGCAGTTTTGGTGGTATGGCCATTTTCACTATGTTGATTCTTCCTATCCAGGAGCAGTGGATAGCTTTCCATTTTCTTATATCCTCTTTGATCTTTTTCAGAGTGCTGTAATTTTCAGTGTAGAGGTCTTTTGCTTCTTTCGTTAGATGGAATCCTAAATACTTCATTTTTTGGGGATGTTATTTGTGTACAAGAAGGCTATTGAATTTTGAGTGTTGACCTTGTATCAGCTACTCTGCTAAAAGTGTCAATTAAGTCTACAAGTCTTTTGGTGGAATTTTTTGGGTCTTCAATGTAGAGTATCATATCATAGTCTGATATCTTTAACTATGATACTGATTCTCAAAACTATCTCTTGTATCTCTTTAACTCTACTCAACATCTCTACTTGGATCTATGATGGATATTTTAAATGTAGCATGCAAAATTCCATTACTCAGGCCAAAAATATTGAAGTTATTCTTGGTTCATTGTCTTTCTCTCATATACCATCTAATCTTCAAAATACAGTAAAACCTTGGTTTGTGAGCATAATTCATACCAGAAACATGCCTGTAATCCAAAGCACTTGTACATCAAAGTGAATTTCCCCAAAATAATGAAAACTCAGATAATTTATTCCAAAAATACTCACAGATTATAATTCTGTATAATAAAGAAAATACAAAATACAAAGAAAAATAAATTAACCTGCACTTAGCTCTAAGATTTTATTTTTTGCACTGAGGATCAAACTCAGGACCTTGTGCTTGTGAGGCAGGTGCAGTGCCACTGAGCTGAATCCCCAGCCCATGGACTTAGCTTTGAAAAATCTTCGTAGCAGGTGTGAAGGAGACAAGAGAGGAGGATTATCATATAGGATGACTTTCAGTATCACTACTAAAGGAATCACTGCTATATTTGGGTGGTGCCTTTCTACAAAAGTTTGCACTGTTTCTCACATTTTACACATCTCTCTAATCTCATTTGAAGTAAGGGATTCCTCCACCTTTTTCTGCTTATCCTTTGCAGATGAGATGTCCTCCATAACCTCTTACTTTTGGGAGACAATTACCCACAATCCCACAGAGACAGGCAAAGAGAGAGAGAACAGAGAGGAAGAGAGATCATGTGACATTAAGCATCATGTACTACTCATATTCTAAGACATATCATTTATAAAGCTAAAATTTATTAGAACTGTTTGCTCATCTTGTGGAATACTCAAAGATTAAGTTACTTGCAATCCAAGGTTTTACTGTACTGTAGATCTAAAGTTGATAATTTTACTCTCCTGTTCACATCCTTATTCAAGCCACTACCATCTCTCACATGCATTACTAAATTAATCACTTTTCCCTATTTTAACAGCCAGAAAGATCCTGTTTAAAACATGTTACTTCACGGCACTTCTTTGTTCAAAATCATCTACTCCACATAATCTGTCCACCCAAACTTAACTCTCAGGCCTTCTGTTTCTTCTATTCTCCTTTATTGCTCACTACCTTCCAGCCACATTGACTTATTTGATGTTCCCCAGATTCATTAAACATATTCTCACCCCCTGGGTCTTTGTATTTCCTGTTCTACCAGGAATGTTCTTCCCTCCTCAGCCTTAGTTTCACTTGTTATTTTCATCATATTTTCACTCAAATATCATTTAAGAGAGGACTTCTCTACCTAAAATGTCAACCTCTTTTATATCCTCTAATAATATTGCATGTTTCCCTTCTCAGTACTTATCATTAGCCAAAATACTGGATGTTTTGGTTATTGTCTTTTTTTTTTAACCAGAATGTAAACTCAAGGAAAAGCAGGTTTACTTTCCTTTCTGTTCACTGTTAATATCCCCAGTATCTAGGATTATAGTTAATTCTTAGTAGATACTCAATAGACATTTATTTAATTCACTTCAGAAAGTCATATGGCTATAAACTTCTTTCTGGTCCCAAAAACAGCCATCTGACAATTTCATGAATACAGTAATCAAAACTGCTTGAGAAGTATAAACCTCTATTAATAAATTCATACAATTTTAAAAGACTATTCTTAAAATTATAATTATAATTTAGTTATTCAAGTATACTCAAAGAATCAATACAAAGCATTTGTTTGCATTCAAAATATTTTAATAGTGAATAAAGAATAAATCTCAATTATGCATTTCTAGTGTTCAAAACTAAAAATGTGAAAACATAATACTAAATAAAGGAAAATAACAAAAGATAATTGTATAATTATCTGAATATAATAAGTGTTCAGATAATATACAGCTATTTCACATTCAGTCTAATATGCAATAATATGAAACATACAAATTTTTATGTAAATTTTTAAAGTCTCAATTTCTAAGTAAAGTTTGACTCTTTGAAAAATAAAGTAACTATTAATTTGATGTTATTAGGTTTCATTGTCACACTGATTTTCTTAAACAAATAACTTTTCTGCTTCCTTTAGTTTTTTTTTTCTGTCCATTTTAGCAACTATAGCCCAACGGTCATCTTGCATTTTTCTCACAGATCCAAATTTGAGCACAGATCCAGGAGTTAGAGATGAAGGAGTCTGAATATAAAATAAAACAAAATCATGGTTTTTTCAATGTTTGTATAAAAAGTCAAGCTTTAAATTTTTTTTCTGAAATATAATTTAAAATCTACCTTTTTTGGTGTTTTGACACAAAGGTGAGAAACAGGTGGATCACTATTATCTTCATACAGTTTGTTCAGTGTGTCTTCCTCAGAAACCATGCTCTAAAGAAAAATACAAAAATACAACTTTGAGGTTCCCTCTTTATTACTTTATTAAAACTTTGACAACATATTATATATGAAAAGAATACAGAATAAAATGAGGAAGAGGAGGCAGAAAAGAGAAAAGAAAGGAAAGAGAAAAAAAGCTGGAAATGTTGCCTAGTGGCACCATGCCTGCCTGCAAGCACAAGGTCCTGAGTTCAAACCCTGGTACGAAAAAAAAAAAGAAGAAGATGGAGGGAAAAACCAAAGAAAGACAAAAAGAAAACCTGTATTTTTATTTGCTTAATATAATCCTGACAACTTATGTGAAATACAAGTGTATAAGGAGTAGTGATTTTCTAAAGATTTCTATTTCAGTGTCAGTCTTTATACTACCACATTCTCTTCCTTCCCTCTTTCCCCATCTTGCTTATTCAACTCACAGTTACACCTCATAATAAGCAATTATAATCCTATTAAACTTGTACTATTGACTATGATCCAGAAATTCCACCTCTGGATATACACCAAAAAGAAATGAAAACAGACTTGAAGAGATAATTGTACACTTGTGTTCATAACACTATTAGTCACAATAGTTAATACATGGAAGAAACCCAAGTGCTCACCAACAGATGAACAGATAAGCAAAATGTTATATATGAAGTGATCAGAGTGAATATTTAATTTTTTAAAGATATTATAATAAAAGATTCATTGCTATTAATTTCTTTCACTTCAAACATATCCCACCATTGCTGCCAATTTCTGAAGCAGTTCTAGATGTCTACTTTCCTAAGTATCTTTAGTTGTGCTTGTTGTGGTGGCTATTCTTTCTTGATAGAATTCTTTGATGAATGACAATTTTGATGAAATGCAATTTACCTATTTTTTTCTATTACCTATGCTTTTAATGTAATATCCCCAAAACTGATGTGTTCAATATCATGGTGATTTCTCTGATGTCTTTTTTCCTAGATTTTTATAGTTTTAGCTCTTCAGTTCAGTTCTTTGCTCCACTTCAAGTTAATTTTTTAATATTGTGTAAGGTAAGGGTTCCACTTCGTTCTTCTCTGTGTGGATATCCAATTTTCCTAGCACCATCTGTTGAAAAAACTGTCCTTTCCCCCACTGAATGGTATTGGAACGCTTATTAAAAATCAATTGCTCTATATGTGAGGGGTTCTTTCTGATCTTATACCAGTACTATATTATTTTAATTACTAGCTCTGTACTAAGTATCAGTGCTAGGATCTCTGAATATTCTGACTTCATCCTTATTTTTCAAAATTGTTTTAGCCATTTGGTACCCTTTGTAAATTAAACATGGAGTACTACTGACTTCCATTTCTGCAGGAAAAAGAAAGACTACTGGGTATTTTCATAAGGATTGCATTTACTCGAGAATGCTTTGGATATTATTGACATCTTAACAACATTAAGTCTTCCAACCCATGAAGAATATCTTTCCATTCATTTAGGTCTTCTTTAATTTTCATTAGTTTTTCTTAGTTAATAACTCAAATTAGAGCTTTCAATACAGCACTGGTAGAAGTGGGCATCCTGATTTACTCTGTATCTTTAGATATATATTTGGCTGTAGAAAGATTAAAATATTTGCCCTTCCTTTAATTTTCAAACATATATAAAAACTCTTTCATAAAGTTCAGATAGAAACAACACAATAATTAATCATCTCATATGCCAACTGTGCTGTATCAATTATTTTCAAATGCATGTTCTCTAAAATTCGGAGAGAAATTATTTTCTCCAAAATGCTTCAAAAGCATAAGGATTCTGTTTTACAGAAAAGTATTACTTTATTTCAGTATTGCAATGTTAAATACTATATACCTATAATATACATATAAACCAAGCAATAACAAAGACAAATAAATGATGCAAACAAATAATAATTATATGTTTACCCAAAGATCCGTAGCTTCTGAACTATCTGAATTAACATCAAATTCAAAGACTTTTCTCTTTTTATTATTTTCTTCAATGAGTTTCTTTTCTTCTCTTTGCTGTATTTGTAGTTTAGCTGGTGTCTTCACAGTATATGACTATCCAAAAATAAAAAGAAATGTATTACCTTACCAAATACAGTATCTATTACTAGTAAAGGATTTAATAAATCATCTCAAGGCAATTTGAGTCTTTAGTAATCAGAGATCTGTATTATTATGGACAAGTATATAGGGTAGAAATTTTGGATAAGGATTTAATTCACATGTTTTTTGATACTAGAAACTTTCTTCAAAAGTTCACAATTGTAGTGGACCCCTCTTGGTCACAGTTAGCACTAGCCGTAGCTCACCTCACTCTCAACCCCCTAGTTCCCCCAGCCTCCAGCTCCATGGAGAGGATCAAGCTGATCCAGAAGTCCAAGCTGGCCAAGCAATCCATGCACTATGATGACATAGCCACCTGCTTGAAAGTGGTGACCAAGCAGGCCACCAAGCTGTCCAACAAGGAGCTCTTAGTGACCTATAAGTACATGGTTGGGGGCTGCCAGTCAGCCTAAAGGGTCATCTGGAGTATCCAGAAGAAAACTAACACCTCCAATGAGAAGTTTTAGATGACCAAGGACTATTGAGAGAAAGTGGAGTCAGAGATGCGGTCCATCTCTGCACTATGATTGTGGAATTGTTGGATAAGTATTTAATAGTCAATGCAACTAATCCAGAGAGGAAGGTCTTCTATCTGAAAATGAAGGGAGATTACTTCCGATACCTGGCTGCAGTTGTATGTGGTGAAGACTGAAAACAAACAAAAGATAATTCCCAAGGAGTTTACCAAGAGGCAGTTGATAAAAGCAAGAAAAAGATGCAGCCTGCACACCCATTCTGCCTGGGGCTGGCTCTTAACTTTATTTTACTATGAGATCCTTAATAACCCAGAGCTTGCCTGCAAACTGGCTAAAACAGCTTCTGATGAGGTCACTGCACAGCCTGATACACGGAATGAAGATTCCTACAAAGACAGCACTTTCATGATGCCATTGCTCAGAGACAACACTATGGACACCAGATAGCACAAGAGAAGAATGTGACAGAATAAGGGACCAAAACTAAGTGCACACAGGGTATCATCCTTCTTCCCATCAAGAAACCTTTTTACACATCTCCATTCCTTACTTCTCTTGGATTTCCTATACCAAAACCTGTTCATGTGTATGTAAGCAGCTGTTTCTAGTCTTTTTACACCGCAGCTTTTAGAAAACTCCATTCCTTGGTTTGTGTTTTTGTCTTGGCCTCCCTGATGTGCAGTTACTGCTGTAAAAAAGTATTAATAGCTTCATCTCATATAAATGTAAGTAACTTACATTATTTATGGAGAGGACTAAAAATGTATTGGTATTTAAGTAATCTGAACCAGTTCTGCAGTGACTGTGTTTTGTATTACTGTAAAGATAAGATGAAAATGTACTTAATTACAATTTAGAGTGTTCTACATAACTTCTCAATTTCTACATTCCCTCCTTTTCTCTTCTTTGGGGGTTTCCTTTCAGTAAGCAACTTTTCAATCTTCCTGCTGTGTTCCTTTTCAGTAGAAATCCAGAAGTATTAGACTGAATAGGAAAGTACTTAGTATCTCTGGGCTTGGGGTCACAAATTGAAAAGCCTCCTGTATCATGTTTGATGAAGGTCATGTCTGTCTGTGACAACAGGAGTTTCCTTATTCAGCTTCATTTACTGATGTTTAAATTGACAACTTCCCTTTCCAATAAAAATTCACATATACCTCCAAAAAAAAAAGTTCACAATTGTAGATTTTCTTTATCCTTCCCTTCAACTTACTGAAATTTTTTCTTTAAGTGTTGTTAAAAGAAAAAGACTTCTACTCTAGTTGCACTCTTTAAAGAATACTAAAAAATAGACTCCTAACTCTAGTTTCAGCAATCAATAAAGAACTTTAAATTGTCTAATCATAATTAAGAACAAAGAATTGAGTGAACTTTGTCTCTCTACAAAAGTGAAGAACTATGTTGGTTTATACTAGATTAGTAAAATAATTCACATTGGTCAGGGTTTAGTATTTTGTTATACCATAATTTTTACAATTTAAGAGACCTTTAGAAAGTAAGATCAGTGATATAAGCAAAGCTGACAGAATAAGGAGTACTTCCACACAGAAGCAATAAAAATACTAGTAAAACAGCCAGAATTTTTTCCATAACTCTGGGGATTAAAAAAAGGGTTTTCAGCCACCTGGGGTTTATTGAATTTCTCTGATTCCATTCCTGATCACTAGCTCTACATTATCTTTAAAAAACAACTGCCTGCCAGGCATGGCAGCACATGCCTGTAATCCCAGCACTCGGGAGGCTGAGGCAGGAGGATCCTGTGAGTTTGAGACCAGCCTCTACTACATAGTGAGTTCCAGGTCAGTCTCAACTACATAGTGAGACTCTGTCTCAAAAAAACAAACAAACAAACAAACAAAAAACTGCCTAAGTTCCTGGTGTAGCCTCACAGCCAACCAACAGAAGAGGAGTAGAATAGTTTCAAAGCTTTATTTCTGAATAATTGTCCTTTATTTAACCTATCTGGTTGTTGTCTGAAAAACCTCACTTACCAAGCTCACTATATATGACCTGAGAGCTCACTAGGGGCAAAAAGTTTCCTTCCCAAGCACTGTTTGTGGGATTAGAAGGTAGCATTTATCAAAAGCGTAAGTTAGTGTTTCAACTTTGCTGCAATCTGAAGCAGTAACAGAGCAAACAAAAGACTAATCAAAAATCTTAAATGGAAAGCTGAAATATGAGATATCCATAGAAGCTTTGAGAAATTCTGACATATTCCTAGATATATAAAAGGATACATATGTGCATGGCTGTGCAAAAACTCAGGAAAGATATAAGAATCCTTATGCTTTCACTACTGGCTGATCTTGAGTTAACACAAACAGAAATTGGCAGGAAACAGAGTTATCAAGTTCCTGAGTGTTGAAAGGATGCCTTTATAGGTACATAGAACCTGCTGGAAAAGATTGGGAGATTTATTGATTCCAGGCATATAAAGATATTTCTATCAAAACATTAGGTGAAAAATGAGCTTACAAAGCAGAAACTTTGGTGGCACTCCCAACAACGAATACAAATTTTATAGGATTATTTTTTAGAAGTCAAAAACTCAAAACTACAACAAGCAGAAATACCAGAAAACTATGCAAATAGGGAAAAATTTCATTTCCAGAGCTGTCACATTATGTTATTTTTTCTTTTTATTGAGTTTATTGGTACAATCTAGGTATACAATACAGTTACATTCATCATTGGGATCCTGTACCTTTACATAATAGGTCTTGATTCCCATTTTTCCCCTTGTCCCTGCCCTCCCTTCAGCCTCACATTATGTTATTTTAAATGTCTAGTTTTCAACATAAAGCAAGAATGTGTGGCTCATGTAGAAAAAGAAAGAAGCAATTGACAGAATATGTCCCCAAGGAATCCTAGACATTGGAATTACTAGACCAAGATTTAAAACCTATGTCTCAGGAACTAAAGGAAAGCATTAAGACAATGGGAAAAACAATAGAGTCAAAAATTATAAAATGAGCCAAAGAGAAATTCAGGAAATGAAGGGTATAACTGAAATTTTAAAAATTCACTACAGGGGCTCAACAGCAGACTTGAGCATGTAGAAGAATGAATCTATGAACCTAAAGGCAGTTCAATTGATACTGTTTAGTTTTGAGAAATAGGAAAAGAAATTTTTAAAAGTAAATAGAGGCTTAGAGATTTGTGGGACATCATCAAACTCACTAACATTCATTTACTGGGAATTTCAGACTAAGAGCAGAGTTAAGACAAAAGTAATGTTTAAAAAGAAAAAAGGCTGAAACCACTCAAATTTGATAAAAACATGTATCACTACATCCAAGAAGCTCAACAAACTCCAAGATAAATAATATGAGAACTTCATCCAGACACATCATAAACTGTCAAAAGCCAAAACCAAAAATATGGAAAGCAATGAGACAAGTAACTCATCATGTATGAAGGATCCTTAAAAATACTGACAGCTGATTTAACATTAGAAACCATAGAGTGACAATCACCAAATAATTTTATGTTCATCAAAACTGTCCTTCAAAAATGAAGGAAAAAAATAATACATTTCTAAATAAATTAAAACTGAGAGGATTTGTCATTTAATATACTTCTCTATCCTATACTACTACTATCAGACAAAATAAACTATAAAACAAAAGTTGTGGCAAAAAAGGACTTTTTTTTAAGAACAAAAGGGTTAATCCATCAAAATATTCTATAAACACACACGTAGATCACACTATAAACACATGTAGTAGAACGAAAAACTAAATACAAAGATTGTTTCCTGTATCCCCTAGATGCAACTACTGAGATGCAAAAGTACAAATTTGTAGTAGAAAACAATGGGATGAGTTGTTGTAACCCAATGTTTTGCCCTTGGGGTTGTTCTACTTGTTACTGAAAGTAGAATATTGGAGTCTCTAACTACTAATGTTGAATTAATGTATTTACTCACTTGTTACAATGAACAGCAACGTCTATACAAGTGTGCAAAAGTGTCAAGCCATGATTTTTACCTACATAACATTCTTGTCTAACAGGTTTTACATATGTTTACATGAGCATCACAGGGGGAAAAATACACCCACAGTACTCTTCTGTTAATGAAAATATGAATTTTATCATAATAGATGATATGGGTGTGACTCACAATAGCTGCACTTAGAGAAAGTAAAACCCATCTGTGTATTTACCCACTTGGCAGATGAATGGCAAGGAGCTCCAAAGCAGCAGCAAGTGAACTTTATCTATGAAATGCTCATTGCTAAATTTCTGTGCATTTAATGTTTGGGGTTTTTTAAGTTTTATTACATTTATTACATTCATTACAATGGCACATGAAAAAACAGATGTGCAAATTTTAGTGGAGGTCAAAAGTGAATCATCAGATTACTCATAGATAGGTGATAAAAAGGACAATGACTTAGATGTTGGCCATATGAGCCAAAGTTCCCAGGATGGTAAAATGGAGCAAGAATTGACTGATACAAAGGGAATGCAGCTCTCCTTGATTCAGATGATGAAGAAAACAGCAATATGAGTACATATTTGACAAGATGAAATGTTAAAAAGTGGTCACACAACCAAATGGAATGATCCAATGTGAAAACTAAGTTCAAAAATATAGTGAGGATCTTGTAAAAAAAAAAATGACAGCACTGAAATTCAATGTTGGAAATTGTAAAAATGCTACAAGATGTTGTGAAATAAAGAAAGGCCAAAATACAATATAAAATGCTCTGTATGCACCAATATCTGTATTCAAAAATATATTTATTACAACGCCTCACTAACTGAACTGAAAGCATTCAGAGGTCTGCTGTATTTAGCAAGGATTTCTCATGGTAATCACAGGAATGTAAAAAAGACACAGAAAAGCAATGGGTCAAAATATGACATAAAAATGTATGCCCTTGTAGATGTGAAAATTTATGCTTTCAATTTAGAAATTTATCCTGGAACTCAACCACCAGGTCCTTATTCATATAGTAATAAACTAAATGATGTTTCAAACAGACTTGTTGCTCCCATCTCCCAAACTAATCGAAAGGTGACATCTGTCAATTGGTTTACCAGTTTCAGGTCAAAGTTACATTTGCTAACAACATAAACTGACCATCATAGGATCTGTATACAGGAACAAAGCAGAAATTCCAAATGCAATTTTGCAATTTCAAAACAAAATTGTACAGTATAATCTTTAAATTTTAGAAAAATATAATATTGGTCTCATATATGGCCAAGAAAAACAAATTGGTACTGATGATGTCAATAGTGCACAATGATGGAAAGACTGATAGGGAAACCTCAACAAAATGGAAGCTTGAGATGGAAACTTTCTACAACAAAACCAAAGGTGAAGTAGATATCGATGAGTTATGTGGCAACTGTGATGTTACTCAAAACACAAAATATTGGCCAATGGTTGTGTTCTGCTCAATCCTAACATATGTGGCATTGTTTCATAGTTTACAAAGAAAATAACAAGTACAAGATATCACAGAGAATTTTTTTTAGAGGATTGGTACTGGAACTCATAAGAGATCATTTATAGCAGAGGAAAAACAAAATGTTTCCGTGCAGGCCACTATGCAAAAAAATTGTGGAGCACAATGGTGAGCTGACAGGTGAATAGGCAGATGCAGCATCTCAAAGACCTACTATGATAACAGGAAAACAAAAGATGTCCACTGTGCACTACAAGAAAGGGCAGAAAAATAAAACATACATGCTATCAGTATAAGTGATACTTATGTATGGAACATGCAATTTTCATTTATGAAGACTTGGGTGTGCCAGGTAAAACAAAGATTATTTCTGTGGTGGATTTTTGTTTGTATTTACATTGTGGTTCACATAGGTTTTTATTTCTGATGCTATCTTATAGGTTTTGTAAGCAAGTAAACAGCTAATGTGAAAATGCTGGTGTCTATTCTAAACCCTCATTACATATTTGATATTTTATTTTATTGATTTTTATTTTCTTGCTAAGTACATATTGTACAATATATAGTAGGAAACTCCTGACCAAACAGGAATACAAAAGAGGTGACAAGAACAGCCTGCCACACAGTAAAGGAAAGAAAGTGAGCTAGGTGCATGAAAAATGCAGTTGTCATGTGTGAAGACTGCCTTGGGTATGACAAATGAAGCAAAGATTCTCTCTGTGGTGCATTTTTATTTGTATTTAGATTATATTTCACATGGATATTTATTTCTGATGTTATCATTAAGGCTTTGTAAGCAAGTAAACATGCGATGTGAAAATTTTATCTATTCTAAGCCCTCATTACATATTTGATATTTTATTTTATTGCTATCTTATTTTCCTAAGTTCATGTTGTACAAGATAGTAAGAAGCTCATAACAAAAGAGAGTCAACAAGAGAGGTGACAAGAACTACATGCCTCACAGGAAAGGAAAGCTAAGCACCTGTGCTGTCAGTGTAAGCAAGACATATGCATGGAACATGCAGTTATCATGTGTAAAGACTGCCTTGAGTGTTAAAACTGAAGCAAAGGTTACATTTGTTGTAGAGTTCTACTGGTATTTTTATTGTAGTTCATATAGGAATTTATTTCTGATGCTATCTTTTAAATGTTGTAAGCAAGTACACAGCTGATGTGAAAATGTTGATGTTTATTCTAAACACACAATACATATTAAGAATTTAATACTTTATTTCATTGATACTTTATATTTTGGTTAACTATACATTTATAGTATAAGAATCTCCTGCCAAAACAGTAAGACCAGCAAGACGTCAAGTATGTCCTACAAAAAGGCCAGGAAAGCAAAACACATGTGCTGTCATTGTAAGCAATATGTGTGTATGGAATGTGCTGCTGTTATGTATGAAGACTACCATGTGATAATTGAATTAAAGATTATTTTTTGTAGGGCTCTACTGGTCTTATCATTGTAGTTCATATAGTAATTTATTTCTGCAGTTATTTTTTAGACTGCATACACCAAAAAAGTTGATGTTGAAAATTTTTATGAATATTCAATAAATATTAAAAATTCAATACTTCATTTTTATTTTTTCCTGTTAAGTACCCATTGTTTAATATACTAACCTCAAAATTAAAATTAATAATTCAACAAGAGAAATATTCCAAATAATAAACGTATTACATATCCACATTTCTATGCCTTTATGTCAAAATTTGCATTATGTCCCTTAGCTAAACAGCAAATAAACAGAAAAAAGAATACTTTAAAATTCTATGAACCAATCATATATTTAGGAAATACACACACAAACAAAAACAGCACTCTCTTAAATGATCAATGGGTCAAAGAATAGTTGTAAGGAAGTTAGAAAATACTTTGAGCAAAATTGTGGGATGCAGTGAAATCAGTACTTTGAAGGAAATGTCTAACTATTATCTTCATTATAAATTAATGGAAAAACTATGAAATCCAAATAAAGGCTTAAGTTTAGTTAAGAGTAACAATACTTTGTAGGATTTTTTATTTTGACAAATGTACTATGGTAATGTAAAATGTTAAAATGGGGAAAACAGGGTGAGGAATATACAGGATTTCTCTATACTATCCTTTGCTCTTTTTCTATAAATTCAAATTAACTGACCAAAAAAAGTTTATTTTTTTAAAAAGGTAGCCACGCTCACTAGAATGGCTAAATTTTAAAAGATTCATTAAAAATATGGATGATAAAGCTACTGAAGCACTAGAAATCTCATTCACTGTTAGTTATGATGTAAACTGGTATAATCACAAAATATGAATGGCAATATATACTAAAAGAGAGTAGATGTATAAGCTATAACCTAACAAATTTCTTCCTAAGTACATAATAACACTATTCATAAAGGTCCAACCTAGAAGCTACCCAACTGTCCCAACTGTTTGTTAACAATGCTACTTATAAACTGTGATACAGGGCCGGGGATTTAGCTCAGCGGTTCAGTGGCCTGCCTTGCAAGCACAAGGACCCAAGTTCAATCCCCGGTACCAAAAAAAAACTGTGATACAGTCACATAGTGGAAGTAAAAATAAGTATAAGTTCAAGCAAAAATATAGATGAGTACAATACTAAATGAAAGAAGTACCCATAAAAATACATATTATATGATTCCATCGTAGAAAATGCCAAAAATAGGTACTTCTGATATTAGAAGTGAGACAATAATTAGCCTTGAAAATGAGACTAGTGATTAGAAGGGGGAATAAGCAGCTCTTTTGAAGTGATAGCAATATTCTGTGTTTTAATCTGGATATTATTGATAAGGTTATGCTTGGTTTATTTTATTTTGAATACTTAAGATCTGTGCATTTTACTTAAAAATATTTCAACTAAAATTTTTAAAGAGAGTTCTTTTTAAATAGAGATTACGATTACTACACATTTTGTAAATTGTGGTAGTAAATATAACTGAATAATTATAAATAAATGCTTTTCTAAGCTGTATATTTTACTAATTTTCATTATTTTCATAAGTAAAGCTGGAGAAAAGTACAAGCAATACATAAACTAAAAAAAGCAAACTATGAGGCCCGATCCTTCTCTAGATCTTGTTTAATATACACCTTTCTTTTTCCCAATTAGCTTAAGGAAACAGAAAGAAAGGCATGAAATTTCAGCTTAGAGGAGTAGAGACACATTGGAATACTCAACCTCAACTCCCAAGAGAAGTGAGGCAAAAATGCCAACGGTACCTTCGAGAAGGAAAGACTGACATCTCATTTCCTAGTAGGATATAAACAAAAGTGGCAAATTTGCTTTTCTGTTTTTGGGTCTAACTGAGCAGAGGAAAAGGAAATAGAAACTAATGGCAGGGAGGAAAGAAGGGTCAGAAGAAGAAAAGTCTTCATTGTCACTTAGCATGGCCAGGGTGTAAGAATTCCCCATGGATTAAACAAACATATGGAAGACAGCTAAAACCTTGCTATGGTACCTGCTCCAATATGATTGATAAAGGGCTCTAGAAGAAAGGTGATATGAGGTAAGCAGCAAAAGGAAATAACTGGATATTGTAAAACAACAAGTTAAAACCAGATTTCCCACAGCACTTACACATTGGAAAATAATTAGCAAATTATAGAATCTGTCCAATATGCCATTTTGGACTTATGGCATAGTAAAAATGAAATTATTTCATGCTGACACAACATAAAAATTGAATATTTCAAGAAACTATATGTGTAATACTAGACATAATAGTATAAGATACCAGAACCTTCTTTTTAATTAATACAAAGTATTACTACTATTTTGGAAATGTTACCAACCTTTGGTACTGGTATAGACAAATCACTTTCGGTAGATGTCCACATATAGTCTCTTTTATCTTTGGATTTACCATAATCAATTGATAAGAAATTTTGAGATACATTTTGTATAGGACTTGTTTTAGAATCAAATTTCCTGTAGCTAGTTTCAAATGTTTCCCATGAAGATGTTTGCGTTTTCTGCATTAAACAAAAGTGAATAAAAACATCATTAAAATTAAGTGTTGTTTTAATTATTTCTTTAAATTGCAGCAACTAGTAGAATATGAAAATAAACTGGAATTTATCCACAAATGTTATTAAACATTGTAGTGACAATTATTATTAAATTAATTAAATGGGAATACTTGTCCATTTAAGATGAACTGACAATTTCTCACAAACCAAAAGAAGTCTGCACTCATTAAAGAATATTTATCTCTCTTCATAATACATCAAGAAACACGATTCCTTACAAGTTACATTCACTTCTAAATGTTGTATTTCCAGTGATTTACTTGCACAGGCATGCACATTTTCCACTGCATTTTTTTTAACACATATAGCATTTACTCCATGCCAAACCTGGTGTTTCCCTCCTACTTTAGGCAGTTCCCCTACAGTAACATTCCTAACTTCTAACCACCTTAGAGGAAGAACAATAACTTAATGTGATTAGTGAATGTGGAAGAAGAAACAATACAGATGGGTATGGCATCACATAGCAGCAGGAGGATCACTGTGAGTTGGAGGCCAGCCTGGACTACATAGTGAGTTCAAGGCCAGTCTGAACTACATATCTAGTCCCTATCTCCAAAAAAAGAAAGAGAGAGAGATAAAGAGAGAAAGAGAAACCGAATGTAATATAGCCCCTTCCTTATGAATACAATATAGCCCTTTCCTTATGCCACCTCTTCATCCCAAACAAGAAAAACACACTATCTGCTCTGCTTCTTTAGGTCTGTTCTGGTCAAGTTCTACTTATGAAACAGTAGGTAATTTTGTATAATCTGTAGTTTCAAGACTAAGAAATTCTCTTGATTCCAGTTAAAAATTATATGCTTTAATATTAATTCATTAACAATAAAAATATTCTGTTGGTTCTCCTTTGTTGTTCTCAATTGGTTGGTTCAGAACTTGAGCACAAATGACCAAAATTAACTGATTTGGTTGATTTTTGAGACAGGCTCTCACCATGATGCCCAAGGCTGGCCTCAGGCTCAAAGCAATCATCCTGCCTCAACCTCCTGAGTGCTGAGATTACAGGTGTATATCACCATGTCCACCTGAGAATGTCATTTATTTATCCCTCTCAAAACTCAAATCAGATATAATCTAAATATAAGCTTTAGGAGGTTTTTGTTTAGTACTGGGGAAAGAACCAGGATCTTGCAAGATAGGCAAGCACTCTACTACTGAGTTATACTTCCTCCAAGCTTTAGAATTTTTAATGAAAATATTCTCCATCAAATATTAGAAATCTTTCAAGAGGAAATACAGAATTATCTAATTTAAGCTAATCTATGATATGAATTATAGACTAAGTCTCCAAATGAGAAATGTTTTAAAATTTTAGCTGATTTTAATAGTAAGAAATAATTTAAGAAATGAAATTATGAGATATTTTAGATGTGTTCCTACTTAAAAATTATTTCTATGTAAATTTCAGTAAGTGAATTATGTAAATCAGAAACAAAATTATATAAATCTCTTACCTTGTCTTTTTTTTCTTTCAGAGTAACTGTGTTTGCTTGTATCTCTCTTTTGAGTTTTTCCTATTAAAAATAAATATAAAATTTGCACAAGATAATCACTATCATCATAAATGAATATTCTTACTATGAAAACCTCCCCTAATAACTATTAATAAAGAAAGAAGACTAACTTCTCAATCTTATAAAAATAACAAAAAGAAAAACATTAGCTTCTGTCTACAGAGTTGTTACTTGGTTTATTCTCTTTATTCTGATGTGTCTCTGATGTATAATTATAAAAAATAAGTCTTTTAAAACTCTTAATCTCAACTTTATTTTGAAATTAAGTGGTGAACAAGATTAAAGTAAGGGATCTGGACAAATAACTAGACTATGAAGAGTTGCAAAGAAATCCAAACTGTTATGGGCCTTTAGAAGCTAAATCATTTCTTTCCCTGCACACTGAGAAAATATACTTTTTCAAGTGGGACTATGAAATGAACAAAATTTCAATATGAGATAAATAAGATGAAGGAGAAAGGAAAAAAGATGCTAAGAAGCAAAGATAATCACATGAATAATACAAAAGAAAATACTTAGTAAATAATATATAACTTCGCTAAAGGATTAGGCAAGTGTATAAAAGCAGTCAAGATAAAAATGAAAAGAGATGTCACAGTGGGAAGTACGATAAACTATAGATTCACTCATCAGGAAAAATGAAATTAAAATTTAGTATGCCTATAATATGATAAACATCTGTAGAACATAATTGTTGCAATCCAGGTAGCTATGAAGTTCTCAGAGAAGGGACATTACTCCCATATGTGGAACTTGAGATAATAAAACATACTTTCCCTGTCCATAAAGCCTATATTAAACTCTATCTTTGCTAAATGCCTTATGTATAAGATGGTATATCTCCCAGAATATTGCTCCTAACCACAGAACTCACTTCACTACAAAAGGAGCTGGCTGATTTAATAGTATATACTGTTGTTTGTTTGTGTCTGGCTCTTGTTATGTAGTTCAGCTGGCCTTGTACTCACTATGTAGTCCAGACTGGCCTCAAACTCCTGTTCATCCTCCTGCTTCAGTTTCTCAAGTTCTGGGATTACAGTTATGTACTACCTCTCCCACTATATTTACTGTTTTTATTATGCATTCTACCATCCAGCAATAGTTGATCTTTAGTTATAATGACAACTGGGGACTATGCTAAGAGGATAAAATGTGGTATTCTTCAACAAAGTATATTTGCTAAACTAGCAATACTACATTGACTCTAAGAATATTTCGGCTTCCAGAGGACAAAAGGAGAAAGCACAGACTTCCAGAAAGATGGTAAAGTAGTTAGCAGTGCAAAATCAGCCTCTCTGAGAACAGGAGACCAGATGCTAGAGTACAGCAACTTGGGAAAGAGGGGGAAGGTGGAGTCCCGAGACCCAGGAAGGTTTTGCAGGGAGAACAAACTAGAGCCCACAAGGAAAGTGAAGTGACAAACATCAACGCAGACGCAGTGCAAGAGAGGAGGCTCATATAGGAAAATGGATACATTTTTAGGATATACTCCTAAGTGAAATAAATAAGTCACACATGTGTAAATACAGAATAGTTTCTCTGGTGTGAAAAACTATAATAGTACTCAAGATCCTACTGGGGATAATTAACAATGTGAAATAGCAAGAAAAGGGGTAAAGGTGTAGGGAAAGTGGGAAGGGTAGGGGAAGGGGAATAAGGGAAAAGAAAAAAATGTGAGAAAATGAAAAAATGGAATTAAAGTGTTTGTAAATGGGGAGGGGAGGAGTGGGTGAAGGGAGGGCAGGGATATGGGGGAAAAATGAGAACCAAGACCTGTCATGCAAAGGTATTAGATCCCAGTAATGAATGTAACTTTTCTGTATACCTAGAATGTAGCAATAAACTCAATTGAAAAAAAAAAGAGGAGGCTCATGTCCACAGAGTTGCAGTGCGGGACCATGGAGGTCTCCACAGAGAAATGCAACAGTGGAGCAGAGCAGTGGATGTGATGGGCTGTAGCGGCTGTTGAGTGACTCTAATCCAAACATCCCTAGGAGAGAGTGATTGACTGGATGACATTTAGGGGTAGGTCTAACTAAACCCGGGACTTGAAGCAGCTATGGGTTGGCTTCATCTTGGAGCTCCAAGTGTCTAGGTGAGGCACAGTCCTAGAAGAAGCCCAGGATTGGGTAGCCAAGATCAAACAAGGAAGAAACACCCACAGTGTTATGGGGTGAACAAATCAGGATACAGCGCATAAGCAGACCAGGATCAGCCTGAACTTCTGCAGAGTTGAATCGGCACTCAACTGTATTTCCACTGCAAGCTTGCTGAGATTATATAGCACCCTGCCCTAATACTATTTCTACTTGCCAGGATCATACAATACAGATTGGGCTCTGTCTGCTTCCTTGGCCTACCAGTGACAGCAGAGACATGCCTTGAAGTGGACATGACTACAAAACTGTAGAGACACTGGGAGATAACAATAGGCTTAAAATCACAGAGAAATCTCCTTTTTTAATTGCATATTTTTGTTTTTTCATGAGTATGAACATTGTTTTTAGTTTTTATGTATTGTTTAGGTCTTGTTTTTGTTTCTTCTTTGTTTCCTACCTGTCTCCTTCTCCAATCTCCAAAAGCTTTAAGTAATCTCCCTTTGTTCTTCAAACTTGCTTCTAATCTCTTTCTCTATTTCTGTTTATTGCTCCCACCCCTTTTAAATTTTCTCCCCAGAAGGTAAAATTACTCAATTGAGGGGACATTTACTATATATAATTTTAATGAGATTAAATTAATAAAATATTAATAAACATTAAAATAAAAT